CCTTTCATCTTCATATGATCTGAAAACAAGGTTTTAAACTGTACTTTGAATTTATAGTTGTTTCATATCTTGAACACCCCCCCCCCAAAAAAAAAAAAAACAAAAAAACAAAACGTAATTTCACGTTAATGTTAGGTATCTACATAAGAGCCCAATGTTATACACAAAATAAAATCATAGAGAAGATATTGCAACATCCTCCCCATTTTGATCTGCTTTTCTATTGATCAGCTGGTAATAATTATAGCTTTGAAAGAAAAAAATTCCGGCTTAAAATTGAATTATAATGCCTATTTCAAAATGAAAATATAAGTGATAAAATCTGCGTAATATAAAAGCATACCATCCTAGTAATTCTACAAATCAAATGCTTAGACATGTGAAATTCATTGAATACGTACCGAACTAGTCCAAATGTTCCTCAATGATTTAAGCTCAGGTCAAAAAATCCAATTTTAATATATTTAATTGTAATGCACTTCTAACGCATGCGCTCAGTACTACACTACCCAGATAAGATGCAAATGTGCAATACATATGCAAATCCTTGGATTTTACATCGGGAAATACCCGAAATTCTACAGGATTTTTTTTACCTTGATTATTCCAAGGATTGCAATTTCTTATACAAAAAATAAACCATTTATTAAATTTAAAGCGTGAAGGCGTAATTTTATCCTATATAAAAATGATGTAATCTTGAGGCTTTTAAAAACAGCCTTCATATGCTTCAACAATAGACTTCCTGCTACATTCAAATCATATGTAAAGTTGTATTCAAGGATTATTTGTAGAAATGTTTTAATTCTTTTGTCTACAAGTCTGTATACAAACAATTTCCTTGTTTTGAGATTGTTATTAAATGCTATATGGTTCCTGCTTCTAATTATTTCTTTCATTGTCTCTATGGGAAGAAATGTTTTATTGAAATGAAACACATTATTATCTTTAAGAATCTTTCTTTTTGCTTTAGTATGTTAATGAATTGGCAAAAACTTATCAATTATATGACATATATGCAAATAAATGACTAATCTAGCATGCGGTTGAAATTATTTTATTATTTTGTATTTACATACATTCTACGAAAGCCGGATAGGCTCATTTTTGACAAGATGAAAAAAAAATTAACTCGTTATAACGAGATAGTTATCTCGTTATAACGAGTTAGTATCTCGTTATAACGAGATAATTATCTCGTTATAACGAGTTAGTTATCTCGTTATAACGAATTAGTATCTCGTTATAACGAGTTAGTTATCTCGTTATAACGAATTAGTATCTCGTTATAACGAGATAATTATCTTGTTATAACGAGTTAGTTATCTCGTTATAACGAGTTAGTTATCTTGTTATAACGAGTTAGTAATCTCGTTATAACGAGATAGTTTTCTCTTTATTTCAAGATTTAATAGCAATATAGGAATAAAAATGCCTGTAGTTTTTAATGCCATTGAATTTTAGCTAGTAATTATCAGTCAAATTTAACTTGAACAATTGATAAATGGTTGAACATTCAATTTGCTCTGGGGTTTACTTATGATTAAATTTTGAACTATCTTGCTGTCAATAATCATATTTTGAAAAGTATAGCAACTCTAAGACGAACACATTTACACATAAATTCGTGAACGCCTCCTCAAATTATTGCATAAGGACGCGATATTTTTCTTAAAATAATATTGCCAAATATACTTGCTTCAAACTTCGGCAATTTATTTATGACAACTATTTCTGATGAATGACACTATTTCTACATGTTTTGGACGACTTATACACTTTCATATATCAATTGCTATACCACTAAAATTAAATATCAGAGAGTGCAACATATCGCAGGCGTTTATGCAACAAATAATATATATATATATATATATATATATATATATATGCGATTACAGTGTGATACATATGTTATATTTGAGATTCAGAAATATTTTGAAGAAGGGGGATGGTGAGACATCAACAGTTAGATCAAAGGCGTAGTACTAGGAGGGCTAATATCCCCACCAACACTTTTGAAACGGAGGCGGTCAAGAATATCTTTGTGCCCCTTCCTCCAGATTTTTTTTTTACCTAAGTAAATATCTCCCGAAAATAATGGCGAATACTCGTAGTTGGAATATCAAATCTCTTTGTTTTTCTTTTTGCTTGTCAAATATTTTATTGTTTTACCCCCCCCCCTCCCATTGATCTTAGTGACTTAGCTTATGCAGATTGTCCACGATGATGAGGAATGATGAAGCAAAAATGATATTACATCCTTCTAAGTAATGAGACATTAGATCTGATCTGCTGATATTGACATTTTATCTAATATTCTGTCATGATTCACAGTTTATATTTTTTGCCGGGGATGGGGGGGGGGGGTTTCCAAGCTGTGGAGATTCACGTAGACCTATTTGAGATTCGCGTGTATTTGGCGGATCCTATGTTTACCACATGGTGACAAAACATCAAACCAGGGTTTACAAAACAAAAAAAAAGTTCACAGAGTTTACAAAGCCAGTTCACTTTTATAATCTTTTTACTTACGATTGATCAACGAATAGGCCTAATATACTACATGTATATTATTAATACAACGTTGAAGCAATGTCGTTAATTATTTTCCTCATCACAATATTTATTATGATTGTATACTTTGCAAGCATATAAATTTTATTTAAAAAAGATATTGATGATTTTTTGGGGGAAGGGGGGGATGAATAGAGGATATTTAATGTTTTGTAGTTGATATATAATTTATTTCACGAGTGGGACAGGAATTTTTTTATATATATTTTCATGAGTGCGAAGCACGAGTGAAAATATCAAAAATCCTGTCTCACGATACAATACATATTTCTATGCATAATTTATGCTTGAAATACACCTTAATTAATGCGTATCATATTGTAAACTTTAGATATTAAACTTTCATTCTATACCCAAAAAGGATCACAAACATGTCAACTATTTTTACTATTGTCAAAATGAGTCATGTGAATTTCCTACATGCACTACATTTCAGCCTGCTAACCTTCAACTTTTTATTGTGGTTTCCGTAGAATAAAGAGCCCCAAAAGTTTTTTTTTTTTTATTTTACCACATTGATAATAACGCAAAACAATATTATCACAGATAATTCAATTTATGCCGCTATGAGAAATCTGGTAAATTTTACACCGTCGGATAGTTATGGATTTTTAAACCAATCAAATTCTTTGTATTTTGTTGCGCCATTTCTGCAAAGCCTGTTTAGTGCAGTGAAAAATAAAAATACATTATCGTTGTGAACTAGCTAGACCCCTTGAAATAACATCGTTTTTGTGTTCTAGCAGTTCCATTCACCAGCCTACTTCACAAAAGTAGCGATATTCAAGGCAAGTAAGCTTGTAGCAGTGTTTTACATCCACGTGCTGGGTAAACCGCGTGGCCGTATACTTATAACATGGCAGGGGTGGATCCCAATTCTGTGAAAATACAGATATGTCTCCTTGGTCATTCCTTCATTCGTAGACTTTCAGAGTTTATGGACTCTAATCCGGATTTTAAAGATCTTAATTTAGATGCAGAAAATTATGAAATAACTGTGTGTGCTAAAGGGGGACTGCGTACAGGTGGACTTCAGTGTATGTTAAAAGGAATAACCGGGCATCCCGACATTCATTTCATACAAATAGGTGGGAATGACATTGGTTATTTATCGAATGAGAAGATCGTTATAAACATTCTCTCCTTTTCTGAGTACCTAATTCAGGGATTGGACTCAAAAAGAGTTATTATTGGCCAGCTTCTAAGAAGAGACCCATCTGTGAGCGTTGCAGGGTACAACGATTCTGTTGTTGAAATTAACAGCCTCCTCACACAAAAGACACAGGCACATGAAAGAATATTTTTCTGGAGGCACAGAGGGTTTTGGCAAAACTTGTCACACTTGGCAAGGGACGGTGTACACCTCGACAACCCCCCTCTGAAGCATTTGAAGCACGGGGACCCCCCTTCGCCCATGCATAAGTATTGGAGAAGTGTCAGGAATGCAGTAATTGTGCATTCCTGTCAATTAAGGCCAGTATTAGGTTTTGGTTACAACAACGAAAAACATTAATTGTTTGTATGTAAACATATTTGCATATTTGGAGCAGCTTAATTATTCTGTAATCATATGTCCTTTTGTATTTGCTGCAAACTTTTTATAAATACAGGCTAATTGGTGCAACAGGGCCAATTTTGGTAATATATATTTGTTTTACATATATGTACCTGTTACCACACCATGTGTTCTGCTTATCATGATTTGTCCTTCAATATTGTTCAGTAAAGCATTGATGTATAACTGTTCAGTATAACAGTTTTCACTCACTTGATGTTCAGTATAGCATCACCCTATAAATGCTTAGTATAGCATTATAGCATTACCCTTATATGCTCAGTATAGCATCATCCTATAAATGCTCAGCATAGCATTATATAACTGTTTAGTATAACAGTGTGGTTCATTGGTGCCTTTATGGCATCACTAGTTGTTCTGTGTATATGTATAGAGATGCCCAGTATGACATCTGCATGAAGCTGTTCAGTACAACAGTCTTGCCTTTTTTAAGGGGGAGGGGTTGTATAAATGACATTACTTCGAGTCCTTTGTATACAAATGTAGATGTTTAATGGAACATCACCACCTGTCTGGTCAATAGAACAGTAAACATAAAGTAGGTGTTAAGTACACCTTCTCGTTAGGGTGGTTCATTATATCGTCTACAGTTCTGTTGTCCATATCTGCAGCCCTTGAAAATTTTTGATTGTTAACTAACATGCTAATCTGCCTATTAGTCAGGCCTTATGAATTATTTAAGATTGTAAACCAAATGGTTTATGCTTGGTGGGATTTAAACATTATTTATTACATGGGCTGTCAGACGAAATCCAAAAATTTATATATTTTACACATTAGCTACAAGTTCATGTAGTTCTTTGTGTGATTATGGGTTCTAAATTCTTTCTAATTTAACACAGGGACAATGCCAAGACAAAAAAGAGGCCTATCTCAGCCAAAAACAGCACAGCCTTCCAAACGTAAGAGGAGTGCAACAAAAAGCACACCCTGCACTGTGGTAAATGAACAACAAACTGAAACCACCTCACCTGCAGCTATGAACACCAATGCCGTTCAGGTTGACTATGTAAAATTGGCAGCGGAGACACTCAAACAACAAAACGCTGCATCTCAACAGACTGCACTCATTCGAGATCCATCAGACACCTCAGCTCCATCCCCTTCAGCTCCGTCTACTTTGGCTCTGTCCACTTCAGCTCCGTCCACTTTGGCTCCAGCCACTTCGGATCAACCCCCACCGGCTACATCCTCAGCGTCACAGGCTGCGGATCTATTGTCTTTAATTGACAATGTTTTTAGTAGTAAAACAGGTGAGTCAGTAAGGGAAAAAAATCTACCCACCATCAACATTGCAGACGGCATCCCTTTAGGGGCGGGGATAAGTCAAAAAACAAAACAAAAAATATGGGACAATGAATTCATTGACCTCAAGTCCCTATTACCTAACCAATTTGACGACCCTGTATCAGTTACCATTGGGGCGGGTTCCATCAACTTCCAACATGGCAACAAACCAAAATCCCCCTTAACTATTTATCAGTGGACTGATGCCTTCCTCATATTCACCTGCATCTTTCTACAAAAACATCCCTCAGAAGCCCCCAATCTCTTAAAATACTGCAGTTTAGTTCGAGAGATTTACACTATGTCAACCGATGGGGCTTGGCGTATTTATGATGAAAATTTCCGTCGTTTAAGGCAATCAACAAATCTTCCTTGGCAAAAACCAGTGGAAGAACTGCGCATCAAAGCGCTTTCAAAATCAAAAGGTCAATATACAAATGATACTTTTCGCAAATCCAGACAGTTCAACAAAGGGGGGAAAGTCTGCTTTGCTTTCAACAGGGGGGACAAGTGTAAATCCTTCCCTTGCCAATACCCACACATCTGCCAACTATGCAAAGGATCACACGCAAAGTTCAATTGCAAGGAACTTGCCTACACCAAGCAATTCAAATCTAGCACCACATCTGCCGACACCAGTAAACCTAAAAAACCTTAATTCCTTTCTCTCAGGCTATGACACACTAGCCCGCTCAAAATTAGTACAGGGTTTTTCAGAGGGTTTTCACTTAGGTTGTCAAGGTTTCCCTTCTAGTAATATCTCTAAAAATCACAAGAGCTGTGCCCAGCACCCAGAAATCATAGACTCCTTCATTCAAGAAGGCTTACAAAAAAGTAGGCTAGCTGGTCCGTTTGAATTGCCACCTTTTCCAGTATTTAAATCCTCCCCACTGGGGGTTGTCCCAAAATCTGAACCTGGAAAATTTCGCATTATCCATGATTTATCTTATCCAAAAACAAATTCAGTTAATATGTTCATTCCTCAAGAAAACTCAAACGTAAGCTACGATTCTATTGATAAAGTTGTTGAACTTGTTCAAAAGTTTGGCACAAGAAGTTTGATGGCCAAGTCAGACATTCAGGATGCATTTAGAATTGTGCCCATTCACCCTGCAGACTACCATCTCCTGGGTTTTTCTTGGAATGGCAAATTTTACTATGACCGTTGTCTCCCTATGGGGGCCAGTAGTTCCTGCCAAATTTTTGAGTCCTTCAGCACTGCTTTAGAGTGGATAATGTATGCAAAATTTGGTGCTCTGGGTATGTCTCACATTTTAGATGACTTTCTCTTTGTGGGCCCACCTGATAAGTTAAATTGTCGAGATGACTTAACCAATTTCCTGTTTCTCTGTGCAAGGTTGAATGTTCCAATCAAACTGGACAAAACAGTTCCTCCTACAACTTGTCTTACAATCTATGGTATAGAGGTTGATACAGTTTCCATGGAATGCCGTTTACCACAAGTCAAAGTAGAAAAGATTAGAAACAAACTGCATGAATTTCAGGGCAAATCTAAGACCTCCTTAAGAGAAATTCAGTCTCTTATAGGCCTCCTTAATTTTGCTTGCTCAGTTGTGGTACCAGGCCGAGCCTTTCTACGCCGCTTAATTAATCTTACCTGTAAAATTTCAAATCCCTTTCACCCCATCAACCTTAACAGTGAAGCTCAAGCTGATATCAATATGTGGAAAATTTTTATAGATAAATTTAATGGAAAATCCATCTTTCTTTCACAATATTGGGTCACTTCAGAAGACATGACACTTTTTACTGATGCAGCAGGGTCTATTGGTTTTGCTGGGGTGTTGGGAAACAAGTGGTTTGCTCAAAAATGGCCAAAGGATCTAGAAGACTACCAAATAGCTATTAAAGAAATATTCCCTATTGTACTTGCAATAGAGGTATGGGCCCCATTGTTAGGAAACAAAAAAATCTTATTCATGTCTGATAATCAAGCAGTGGTGGACATTATAAACAAAACATCATCAAAAGACGCCACTCTCATGAAACTAGTCAGGCGTCTTGTTTTGTGCTGCTTGACAAATAACATATTGTTTAGAGCTAAACATATCCCTGGCAAACTTAATACTTTAGCCGACAAACTGTCTCGTTTTCAATTTCAGGAGGCTGCCAGCATTGCCCCAAATCTGTCTTCAATACAAACATTCATTCCGTCTCACTTACTAGAGATCTGAGTGCATCCTCCCAACATCTTCTTCAGGCTGCACTTTCAACATCTTCAAGAGTGGCATACCACAGAAGCTGGCAGCTCTTCCTCCAGTGGAAACCTTCATTCACCTCATTACCGGTGTCAGAGGTAGATTTGTGCAATTTTATTGGATATCTCTTCTCAGAGAATTATGCCCCATCCTCAGTATCTTCACATGTCTCAGCAATAGGCTACCTCCACAAAATCTGCAGCTTACCAGATCCCACTGAAAAATTCCTACCCAAAAAACTCCTGAAAGGATGCCATGCACTAGTGCCACAGCAGGACACAAGACTTCCAATTACAACGGACATCCTGCGTAAAATTATTCAGGCTATTAACATTGTTGAACCACTCTTAGGTAATAGGTTACTACTTAAAGCCTTCTATCTTCTGGCCTTTCAAGCTTTCTTAAGAATAGGTGAACTCGCCACTCGTTCCGCTAACTCTAATCATGTATTACAGCGTTCTGATGTTAGCTTCAGAGTCTCAAATGGCATCTTATCAGGGGTTACCATTGTTATGAAACATTTCAAGAATAACACTGAGCAGAAACCAGTTACTTTGCACCTTTCAAACAGCAGTTCCATTACCTTCTGCCCTGTTAAGGCATTGTATGATTACACTACTCACTTTGCTCACACTTCAGGGCCACTTTTTCAATTCATGAGTGGGGAACCAGTCACACACCATTTTATAAGCCAGCAGCTATGCAAGTTAGTCTCATTCATTGGCCTTGATCCAAAACTGTACAAAGGACACAGTTTTCGAATTGGTGCAGCAACTCATGCAGCATCTCTGGGTTTCTCTGAAAACTATATTCAGAAGCTGGGTAGATGGCGCTCGAATGCAGTACGCAGGTACATCCGCATATCTTCATTTGATATATAACCTCCCAAAATCTATTTAAATCCACACCTGAGTTCAGCATCTGGCTGCTCATTTTTTGTGGATGGCTAGCAGACCCCTTCCATTCCTGAGTCCAGCATTTGGCTGCTCATTATACCTGCATACTTTATACGAGTCCAGCTTTTTGCTACTTATCTCATTTCCCCCTTCCTTTCTGTGCTGGTCTAGCAGTTGGCTACCAGAACATCCTCATCCGTATTTGTCTGCTCACATAGTTTTGCCATATATTTGTTTTGCAATATTAGAATATAAATTCCTACTTCAAAACACAAGAGACATGGTCAGCAGTTGGCTGCATGTCTCATATCTATTTTCCCAATGTAATAACCTTGTAAATTTATGAATAACTAAACATTTTTGTAGTATTTTGCTTTCCCTTGCTGGCTAACCACACTCGAATAGCTTACAGTTGACAATTAATGCCCTTGTTGCTTCAGTATTTGTTATTCATCAGGAACACTTAGTCACAAAACATGTAGCCAAATATGTGTAGTTCATGTTTTAGTACTGTTTATATACATGATGGAAAATTACTGTATAAAATTACTGTAATTTACTGTCTGGGTAAAGTTGTTTTCTTTGGATTTTCTTTTTTCCTTGTTTGGCGTCTATCCCTCACTGCTTGAGGGCTTGTGGCGCAATTGTTTGGACGCCTCCAAGGATTAACTCATTTATGTTAATTTTTATGCATATGTATTGTACTCTGATATTTTCACTGCATGTAATTTTCTAGTCAGTCTCAGGGGGATCACACTTGTACCTATCACCTATGTACATGTTTCATCTTGTAGTGTTTATTAGGTGATCCCCCTTAATAATTTGTTATACATTTTACTTTACATTTTACCTTATGTCATTCAAATAAATGACATAATCGACAAAACTGTATATCTGTGTTGGGTTATTCTTTGCTGCCCTATCAGGCTAATTTCTCATAGGAGGCATAAAACAATATTATCACAGATAATTCAATTTATGCCGCTATGAGAAATCTGGTAAATTTTACACCGTCGGATAGTTATGGATTTTTAAACCAATCAAATTCTTTGTATTTTGTTGCGCCATTTCTGCAAAGCCTGTTTAGTGCAGTGAAAAATAAAACCCACCACCCACCCTTTGCCAAAACTTGTTATATGGGTATGTATATTGTCAATAAGGCATTATGGGTTTGGTCTTGTATTTTGCATTCTAGTCATAACTGTAGTAGTTTTCAAATACCTTTTTCACATGTTCCATGTGATCGGCGCAATTGTTTGGACGCCTTCCATGTGATCGGCGCAATTGTTTGGACGCCTCCAAGGATTAACTCATTTATGTTATTTTTTATGCATATGTATTGTACTCTGATATTTTCACTGCATGTAATTTTCTAGTCAGTCTCAGGGGGATCACACTTGTACCTATCACCTATGTACATGTTTCATCTTGTAGTGTTTATTAGGTGATCCCCCTTAATAATTTGTTATACATTTTACTTTACATTTTACCTTATGTCATTCAAATAAATGACATAATCGAACGCCTCCAAGGATTAACTCATTTATGTTAATTTTTATGCATATGTATTGTACTCTGATATTTTCACTGCATGTAATTTTCTAGTCAGTCTCAGGGGGATCACACTTGTACCTATCACCTATGTACATGTTTCATCTTGTAGTGTTTATTAGGTGATCCCCCTTAATAATTTGTTATACATTTTACTTTACATTTTACCTTATGTCATTCAAATAAATGACATAATCGACAAAACTGTATATCTGTGTTGGGTTATTCTTTGCTGCCCTATCAGGCTAATTTCTCATAGGAGGCATAAAATATACATATTGTACATGAGATTTCATGACAAATAGGTAAATCAAAATATTTCTTTCTTTTAATAAACAAAAGAAATATATAAATTATTAACAGATAAGTACAGTATTAGTTCTTGAAATTCATCATATTTATTATTGAGGGGAAGGAGGGATTGATGATAAAAACAACGTGAATTTAGGTTTTTGTCAGACATTGAATTTTGATCTTGCCCCTTTAAGGCGAGAAAATTGAACTGATATTCCTTGTTTTAAACAGCCAAGGAATTATCAAAATATGGACATTAAAGCCTAACAAATGGTATCATATCGACATTATTAATTCGGAATATATAAAATAATGGGATTATTTCTTTTTCATTTTTTTTATTGCGACAAATATTACGCAAAAATTATCATAATTTTAATAAAGTAAAGAAAGCTTTAACAGGGCAGTTAAATCAGCCCGAGTGTATCATTATTTTTTTCTGATCTCCTTGTACAAGTTGACCAAATTTTGACGTTATATACATTCCATTTGAAAATGACAGTAATTCTAATTTACAATTTTAAGGTATAACACAACAACATGAGTCGCCCGATGGCGCAGTGGTTAGAGCGTTCGCTCTAGAGTCGCGGAGAGAGGAGTTAATCTTTACGTCGCGGGTTCGAATCCCACTGTGGGACGTGGTGACCGGTCCTTCGGATGAGACCGTATAAACCGAGGTCCCGTGTCGCAGTAGGTACTGGCACGAAAAAGATCCCTCACTGCTCAATGGCCCTAAGTGCCGAGTATAGATCAAAATTTGCAGCTCTCCACCGGCAAGTGGTGGCGTCTCCACATGAGTGAAAAATGCTCGAGAGGGACGTTAAACAATAAACAAACAAACAAACAACAACATAAGGCGGTCATAAGATTCCGTATATTTGTCTTCGGTCTTTTCAATAAACATTACTAATCAAAGGCATAACACAAAAAACTAGTATGTTGTTGTTTCATTAAATCTTTATCACGCACACTTCAAAAAAATTTGATTGACTGCCTTCTGTATATTTCCTATAAATAATGGTCTATTCTTAACTTAGATATATCAACTCTTTCGATTAATTTTTATCTCGTTATAACGAGATAATTATCTCGTAATAACGAGATAACTAACTCGTTATAACGAGATATTAACTCGTTATAACGAGATATTAACTCGTTATAACGAGATAACTAACTCGTTATAACGAGATAACTAACTCGTTATAACGAGATAACTAACTCGTTATAACGAGATAACTAATTCGTTATAACGAGATAATTATCTCGTTATAACGAGATAATTATCTCGTTATAACGAGATAAATAACTCGTTATAACGAGATAACTAACTCGTTATATCGAGATAACTAACTCGTTATAACGAGATATTAACTCGTTATAACGAGATATTAACTCGTTATAACGAGATAACTAACTCGTTATAACGAGATAACTAACTCGTTATAACGAGATAACTAACTCGTTATAACGAGATAACTAATTCGTTATAACGAGATAATTATCTCGTTATAACGAGATAATTATCTCGTTATAACGAGATAAATAACTCGTTATAACGAGATAACTATCTCGTTATAACGAGATAACTATTTCGTTATAACGAGATAACCAACTCGTTATAACGAGATAACTTACTCGTTATAACGAGAAACTAACTCGTTATAACGAGAAACTAACTCTTTATAACGAGATAACTATGATCTCGTTATAACGAGATAACTAACTCGTTATAACGAGATAATTTATATCTCGTTATAACGAGATAACTAACTCATTATTACGAGATACTAACTCGTTATTACGAGATAATTATCTCGTTATAACGAGTTAAATATTTTCTTTTTGTCTTGTCTAAAATGAGCCAATCCGGCTTTCGTAACATTCAAATATACTGAAAACAAAAAGAAATATAGGGTAAACTGTTGAAGTGATTTAATGTTATTTTTTCAAACGTATTTACCAGTATTGATGTCTAACATCTAAACACATCTCATTTGATTAAATTTAACGAGCTCTCATACCAAAATCGCGCAATCGGTTTCTTTCCGTCTTTAGGTAAGTGTAACAATTATGATTGCCTACTGTATTATTAGCGGTTTCAGTGATTCTACTGGTGGAAGAATGAATATCCCAATTCTGATGTGCCATTGTTATGCGCAAACTTGTTCGTCACGGTAGGTTGGAAACCCTTCCATTTCCTCTCTGACGATGGATAAACAACAAACAGCACGCTTACCTGTTTTGCCTTATTTTTTTAGTTAATATGCAATACATTTATAGCTAGAACCCATGGAACTTCTGTCTGCCGTACCAAACTTGCAAGACATTTTAATTGTCTGGAAATATCCGGAAACAATGTGTATACATGTACCTCCAATGTATAAAGTGGTATTACAAAATTTGTTGCAAACATGCCATCATCAATATGCACGCACGTGTCTTTGGCGACTTTCTATACATGCATGTCAGACATTTCACCTAGTTAAGTTATTCTGAATACGGAATTTAGTGCGACGTATCCAAGATAACCCTATGACCATTTTTTAAATATAAATTTCGACCTTGTAATGAATTTTTTTCGCAGATTATGTTACCCTGCGTTTCCTTTTCCTTTCAGTATATCTTAAAGGAAACGACAGGAGTGGTTTAAATGCATATGCATTTTCCGGTGAAGACATTAACATATTAAGGAGAAATGTAAAGATATTATGCCCAAAGTACAATCAAACAATACAAATTGTTAGCAGAGCAAACATGGACCTCTGAAAACTGAGTTTGGATCAGTTGTCACAACTGGTTATTCGGTGTGCTTGGTTTTTATATGTTATAGTTTATGTTCGTGTGATAAAACAATAAAATTTCGAAATATAAATTCTTGCATTCGTCTTCAGCTTCTCCCTTAACATTCCATTAAAATATTCGGTAAAAAAAAGTACTAATATGTCAATTAATTGTTGAATTTTTTTTATATTTCCACCAAAATAAAATTATAGAACTTGATTAGTAATTAAAAACCAGCTAGTATATTTTGTTATGACCTCTTTCACGGTTGAAATGATGTCTTTTAACTGTATGGAATTTTATTGCAAGAAAACAAACGTAGAGATGGAATATATATGTAACTTTAGAATGAACTTCAGAAACACAAGGGGATTGCCGATAAGATGTACACAACTATGTTTAAGCTAAAGGACGATAACTGAATGTGATTGAAAGGGAATCTATGAGTGAGAAAGGTCTTCTAGATGTATTATTGCCTCAGCATATTTACTGTTAATAGTCAAACAATTAATTATAAAGAAAAAGTAAGCAAAACAAATGAAAATAGAAATGAGTAGATTTCTTGGGAAAAAAACGACACACACACACACACACATACACACACAGAGAGAGAGAGAGAGAGAGAGAGAGAGAGAGAGAGAGAGAGAGAGAGAGTATCTACAGGCCCGTAGGAAGCAATTTCACTTTGAGGGGGCACAACTACATGAAAAAATATAAATGAAATAAAAAGTTCTCTCACAAGTTAACAGAGGATGGATTTGATTATTCTGCTAATTTTCTCTATGAACGGTTAGTGTTTGCCATTTTTAATGTGAAAGTGTTCATTTATATACACTCTAAATGGAAATGATTTCTCATAATCAACAAAACCATTGGACGACTCTTCTTTATCAAACTTATGTTCTTAAAAGTAAGAGGCAGCGAAATTTTAATTTTGTAAATTTTCTTTTTCAGTTGCTTTATTATGTGGTTTTTTCTTACTAATAGTCTTCAGCGTAATGGATACGTTGAAAAGACTAGGTGACTTTTAATTTATTAACAACTTGGACAGGCAATTCTTGTCATAGTCTAATAAAACACAACTGTGACACAGCGTGCACCTTATGTGTCACACTTTCCACGCTTATTAAAATGGGCGTATGACATAATGACTTATTAATATTCTTAGGTAATATTACTAGTATTTGTGAAAACAGAGTTTGCAGCCGTTAAACAATGATCACATTGTGGCAGAGAAACAGTTTTAGTAAATGATTTGTCCGGGAGAGAAGATAAATTAAGCCTTCAGACAAAACAAGTCTGTTTAAAGAGCAATCATTGCACAATTTTCAGAGATGTCGATATGCGTGGATTTCAATTATCATGCACTGCGATTATAATGCATACAAAGTTATTGAGACACGTGTTTATACTCTGCAAGCCCTCCAAAATGAATTGATTGTTTTGCTGCAAAAGAGCTTTAAAATCAATATTTGTGCTATAAAGAATCTTTATTTCACATTTATGTTTCTGAGAGCATTATTATAAAGCGAATCTTTGAAATCATTTGTTCTTAAAGTATATCTACAATTTTCTTTTCCAAATGTTTATTTCTTTGAAGAAAATGTTTGTTCTATGAATAAATTTATTTACTGACTAAAAGCTTGGTCTGCAAAACAATTGAAGCTAAGTTACTTGCCTCTTTATAGCTTTTACTACACCTATATCCTATAATAGTTCTTTTATGCAATGACAGACTCTGTAATATTCTGTTTACACGCCCATTATCATTTCATTGTACAAAAATCCACAATGTGTTTAAACACCTATCTTATAACATGATTATTACACTTAAAGGGGCCTGGACACAGATTTGAAGTTAATATAACATGACTTATATGTTATTATTAGCATTTCACACGGAAATATAATAAAAGCGTGTTCAGAAACTTCTTTTATCTGGAAACTATTGAAACTACGAATTCCAGGACGCATTTGATTGACACATCTTTGCACTTTCACGATGTAAATTTTATCCTTAATACTTAAGAAAAGTAGAAATTTTGTTGTGTATTAATGAAAAATATTAAAACTATAATCCAGAAAATTCGGAGTAGAAATGTGAGAAAGTAAAACTTACTCACAAGTATAGTCAGTCCGTGCTCAGTGATGTATGCAGAGTTTAACAAATTGAACACATCCGATGAAACGTAAACATTAACAATAACAGAGCTCGTGCCCCCTTTACAAAAACAGATGTCTGACATGATGTAAAGAAGAATGTCGTTGTCATTGAATTCCAAGAATATTCATGTACGTTCAATTCATGTTACTGTTTTATTTTTTGAATGAGCATAAAAATTTAAAATGTAAACACTGCAACTGTGTCCAAGCCCGTAATATAATCCTATATTATCATAAATCTGTAATCCATAGTAAATTACATAGTTCATTTGTTAATAGTGACACAAATGTGAATTAAATTACACACATATAACACAAGTAAAAAGGATGAAAAATGCTTATGGTACTTTGGAATTCTTTTTAAAATAAAATTTCAATGCATAACATTCCAAACAAAGTAACAATCTAGGCCTAATAATTTATATGCATCGTTGTAAAGAAAATAATTTCAGTTTCATTAATTTTATTAAAAAAAAAAAAAAAAAAAAAAAAAAAAAAAAAAAAAAAAAAAAAAAAAAAAAAAAACTAACACAAACATTTACTTAAATGGTAAAACAAGCTTATCAAGCGTGAATAAAAATTCATAAATATTCTTATTACGATCCAGTCTGTGTTCTTTTCACAAAAGTTATACATATGAGATAACAATTTTGCAACTCTGCAATTACTTTGTTTCTTGAAGATATGAAATTTTTGTAAAAACTTTATTAACAACGCATTGTCATGAAATTGAAAATAATACATGTGCCCTTCTATTGCTACGGTACTCATTAAAGATTTGAAAATTTTGTCTAACTCATAAGAATTTTTCTGAAAAAGGTATTCAGTCTAAAAACTGACATATACAAAGTAACAAAACTGACACAACGTCTCTCAAGCCATCTTATGCACAAAACATTTGTTTATGAATTGATCATTAAAAAAATTAGTAACGTTCTCGGTGGATGGTGAGGTTGATTGGGGGAATTGAAGAAACCGAATTCATCATTCGTCCATCCGTGGACGATTCTCGTAGTTTGGAATATAATATTCGGCTGCTAACCATGCCCAGTATGATAAACACCAGACCGATACCAGCCAGGATGATGGAGTAAGGAGTATGAACTTCAACCTCTATGACGTTCAGGTTCAAAAGACTGAGAGTGGATTCAACAGAATCTAATGCCACTTGAACCGTTGCTATGACCATTCGAAGAATCAAGAATAATTCAGATAAAGCTGTAAGAGATGGCATCATTAGAAGATCTGTCTTCATGAAAAGGGAAGATGTATAAAAACTTTTGTTAAGTTTGAGAATTTGTTTAGAAAATAAACGAGAAATTGATGTTTTAATTCCTACTAATTATTTTACTCGAGCATTGGATTACACATTTTCTCAATTGTTATGATGATAAGCAGATGCTCTATTAATGACTTTGTTAAAGATAATAAATAAATATTTTCTACCGCTCGGTAATGGACATTATCATTATGTTACTATATAACCATTTTGAAGGTAACACATTTCGGTCTTACCAGCCACAAGAATGGTAATACCACCAACCATTACTTTAGAGGTGGATCCAAAGTTTAACATGAGAAGGAAAAAGCCAATTACACATAATGATAGGGCAACTGTACTCGTTATTTGAAGTTCTAGTAGCCTAGCTGAATATAAAGGAAAAGACAAAAATGATTATTAATCTTTGGTAGATATTAACAGTACATATAAAACTTTATTTTATGATAAATAAAATGGGACATTATATTCTTTAAAAAAAACTTTTTGCATTCTTTTCAAACCTTTCAATACAAGTAATGTCCCGCTGTATGATTGAATAAAAATGTTTGCATGATCAAATTATTTTAACAAGAGAAATAAGTAACTTACGGAGATTCTCAACCACCGCAGAAATTGCTGAAGGGAGTTTATCAAAGGGGACACGAAGACAATTACCAGCTGTACACAGTGTGCAATAAAATATGCTCAGTTCTACACGCACTGGTGGCAAAGAAATCTAGATAAAATCTTTCGTAATTAATATACAAACATTATTATTTTTTTTTTTTACGTTTCACAGTATTGAAATTCAAATCAATCTTATCAATTTTACATTTAAAAAAAAGGAAGACTGAATATACTGTTAACCTTTTTTAAAAGTGAAAATATTGAAAAATTACATTTTTAAAAAATTGCATAGTAATTAACAGCAATATATAGTCAACTTCTTAGTAAATGCTAGTTCAAAGCATTCACAGTTACTTTGAGACCAACAATAAAAAAATGAATTTATAATTCATTTTCAAACAAAGAAGCTTACTCTTTTAGAGGAAATGATGTTGTTGAGATTCAGAAGGGAGTTCAAGGACAAAATGTTCTGCGAAAATAAAAGAGAAATCAGTTAAGGAACTGCTTCTTTGTAGAAGAATTTCTTTTTTAAATGTTTAGTTTCCTATTCATGATAAAATATTCAGTTTTCTAAGAACAAATATTATTTTGATTGTTAATTGAGCATGTTTACTATATTCTGTTCATGTTAGGTTTTTTTCATGTATATATTTTATATATTATTCATCCATGTTCTATATGACTATCAATCCTACATGAATGACCTTTTTAAAGTAGGACTTCTCTACATTTATTGTACTGGAATCTGAATACACAACATTTAAACATTACAAGGGGATTGAAATGGCTTACCTTAAGAATCGATGTCGGCTGAATACTAGTAGTTTTTACAGTTAAAACGAACCAGCCTCTTGTTACAATGGATGACAACCACAAACCAAATGTAATAAACACTGTCACCAAAGTTAACAGTAATATCTGCTTTTTGTCCATCTTGATTGCCTTTGGTTTGAAAAACTTAAAACCTATGAACATATTTTCAAACTGTCACTCCATGCATAAATGAATTATAACCCACGTTTTTGTGCATTAGATGTAAAAGTTAATTAGATTGAACTTTGCACTCATCTCTGTTTCATTTAAAATGAATTAATTAGTTAATTAAATAAATTAATTAGAACTTTGACAAATCGTCCTTTAAAATTAAAAAAAATTAAACATTGAAATTCATTTACACAACTTGAACCCCATAAGAAGAAAACTACATAACCCTTACCATCACGTGGTAATCAAATCTTTAAAAGCTTTTGCTTCTTATATGAATTTTCCAAAACTTTTAAAAACATGTCTTATATAACTACACATGTTTATCAACGTTTCTTTTTCTTTTGGCATGAACTGTTCACGTGTACACAATTTTCAATATAGCTCACCTAAACATATAACATTCTGATTTATCTATTATTATTATTAAAAGTTTTTAGAACACATATATACAACATCAATTTTGCACAATATATCGAACCTTAATCATTATTAGACAAAAAGAGGCCTTTTTGCTAATTTAGGTAACAAAAGGGTCAAACAAAACTTTTAAAGTGATGTTCAAATTTCAGCTGATAGATAAAAAATAACATTTATCCGAGAACTTTGATTTATGTAATTAAACATTAAATTACAATAATATATATGTATCAATCCCAAGTCTGGGTTTTCGTTTCAAGATGAATTTGAAATAAAGAAATTTCTTTGTATTAACTTCTGCAAAGAAAGAAATTATTCACGAGAGCCTAATGTATTTTTGTGCCATTGTGGGTGTTCAAGCCATTAGTGTTCAAAATGAGATTGATTGAAATTTAGAAACACAAAATATTTGTTTCTAACATGTCTGGTGAGCTTTATATCCCAGTTCATTGTGGAGTAATGCGTATGAATAGAAATTTAGAAAAACTTCCTGTTGCTCTTAATTCTAATCTTGCTAATGACGCAGTGCAATTTTGGGGTCACTTTTATTTTTAATTTTGATATTTTGGAATATGTGACTGCATACAATAAAACACGAGGTACAGCTACGTTATTATTTCCGTAATATTAAACTTAATGTAAATAAAATGATAATGATAATTTGAAAAACAACAACAGATGAAATAAATAAGATGAATCATGTGTCAAGTAGAATATAGAGCATTTTATTAATTTAAAAGGACCAAATATTTTTTTTTCCTATAAAGGACAAAATCAGCATCTGTTTAAAATAATCTATGATTTTTTCAAGTTATTTCTTCTTTTTTTTTTCTCATATCTAGATAAAGCATTTCAAATAAAATCTGGCCTTTTGAAACTTAGATTAATTATTTCATGTCTCTTCACTTCTTTGAAGTAACACGCTGTACAAACATTGGCATTTTAAGTTGTTTAACTTTTCAATCTTCTAGAACATTTCCATTGTTTTATACCTATGACCTATATAGTGTAATCTATTTGATTTGATAAGAGTAGTTTGATTTTTGCTTATGAACGATATGTCCATCGTTGAGGCGATTTATATGCTACACAATTATTCATTTTAAGTATACGTCGTATTCTAAATACATGTGCTACATGTCAGTCTAAGTTTGCACTTTTCATTCACCGTATAGCTTTTTAGTATCTGTATTTCAAAGATCGACAAAAAATCTTACTGTTGATCGCGACTCTTTTTAGGTCTGTGTCATCTTCGATTGAAAACATAAATTCTGCTACCTTTAATAAAAAAAAGTTCTTAAATACTGATATAAATCTGAGTTTGAGTTAAGAGACAAAAAAGTATAAAATAACGAACAAAAGAAAAAATGAAGTACTATATTTTATCGGAACATAAATTAATTACATACATCTTTGTTGTCTATTACATCCTGTGCAGAAAATAAGTCATTAATTTTGTACTTACTCACATTAAGTTACCTAGTTTCGACAAGCTTATGTCAACTGAAGGGCTGATGACACAGTTTCCCATACCGGAAAGTACTTTTTAAAACAAAATGCTAATGACTTCAAGGGCATTTATACAAGTGCAAAAAAGTCACGCTTTGTATATTCTTTTTCATTGACATGTGTACAATTTTCGAAACTAAATAAAAGATTTCAAATTTGGCCAAAGTTCTTTCATATGTGTTTCTTATCTTTCGTAGTTCTTGTTGCACAAAAACGCTCGCATGGCAAGAGGACACACACACAAGACAAGTTGTTTTTTAACCTACCAATTAAAATTTGAAAAGCCGTGTTTAATGGCGTGGAAGCCGTTGAAATAGATACTTGTTTCAAAGTTTGTGGTGTGACTCTCTTTCTTTAAAAAAAAATAGATTTGGAGTTGTCCACTGAAAATACAGTTTTGAATAATTCGTAACCGTAAACACTTGAATAAACATATAATAAGACGTTTTTTTTTTTTACTTCATTCTCGCCCTATAATGACGTGTGTATGAATTAGTCATTGGCTGACGGCTGTAATTAAAGCTTTGAAATGTTGTTTATCATATGCACTTATGGTTATTATTTTTCTTCACTTTTATTAACTGTGCATATGCAAACTGATGCATATATAAATCTGATGAAAATTATAAATGCGAATTCTTACAAAAGTTATACATTTTTGTAACATAATATGAGAGAACATATTCAATATCCAATTATATTTCTACCACATTTGTGAACAAGCATGAGCAAAACTATCAACCTGGAAATCTGCATTGACATTTGAAAATTAGTCATTGTCTTGATGAATCGTGAATCTGACAGGGGAGATGGATTGACCGTCTGTGGACTGGTCCCTTGTTCGCGAGTACAAATTACGACTGCTAACCATGCCCAGTATTATAAACAGCAGACCAATACCAGCCAGGATGATGGAGTAAGGAGTTTGAACTTCAACCTTTATGACCTGTAGGTTCAAAATTCCGAGAGTAGAATCAACGGAATTAAATGCTACCTGCATATTGGCTATGGCCATTCTGAGAATCAAGATAAGTTCTAATAAACCTGAAATAAAAATTGTTATGAGCTTAGCACAAAAAATGTATTAATGAATATGTTTTAAAAATCGTGATATATATTGTTTATTGGAGAACATGGTAGTTTTTCTTCTAGTAATAGTCTTGGTAAACTTTACTTCAATTCACCCGAATTCATATCAATTCAATGTGCATTAATAAAATATGTTTATGAAATTTGCGTTGTAAAGGTATTAAATATATAATGTTGTAAAGAAGATTATTAAGGAGAACACACTCAAATTGATGGAGAGATTTCTTTATCATCCTAATTAGCAATAAACGGAAATACACATCAGTCTTACAAAACAACTTTTATTACATGGTTCATATGTTCACATCTTACCGGCCACAAGTATAGCACAACCCCCAGCCATAACTTTAGACGAAGATCCCACAACTTTAGACAAAGTTCGACAGGATAAGTAAAAGAGCAATCGCACATAAAGATAGGGCAACTGTACTCATAACTTGAAGTTCTCTCACGTCAGCTGGAAAGAAAAAAAAATGTCGAAGGTTTAAAACGTATTTTAAAACGAAAATTATATAATGCATAGTCATTTACTTTAAATATATCTTCTTTTTGTTTTAACAAAGAAGTGGAATTTCAGTTCATTTACAGTTGCTAGGTGTGTATCAGCGTTAAAACCTCTAAGATTAAATGCTTCGTGATCTGATCTAGGTTCGATTCTCGTTCGCCGCGTCAAACCTCAGACGTAAACATAAATAGTGACTGTTTTTTTCGCCAAACGTCTGGTATTAGAAGTGAAAGCCATAGATCCTTAGGATCAGACCTTAAAAAGCTTAAAAGACTTTAAAAACCGTGATCCCGGTGGGCCTTGGCACGATAAAGACTCCCACTGCTGAATGACCCTGAGTACCCTGTGTAGGTCTAAATTTAAAGCCTTCCATTGGCATACGTGCCGTTACTAAACAGGCCTAAGTGAAAAATTCTCTAGTGTGACGACAAACAATATACAATCAATCAGACTAAGATTAAATACGTTTTTGATGTTTAGAAAAAGCATTTTTTATTATGGACACATGTTAGAGGTCCTGACTCCAACTGATTGAAATCCACGCATACATTTGATCCACCACTTTATTTAAGAGAGTTACAAATTATATTGTCCTTACTCTGATTTCTCTTTACCAAACAAAATTACACGTATCTCAGTTTTATGACTTGCCTAGATAGCCAAGCGGTCTAGCGCGCTGTTCCTGTACTGCTAGGAGACAAATTCCGTAGGTCGAGAGTTCAACTCCAGGCAGGGGCGGAAGTGGGTATCCTTATAAAAGGGAATTTTTTTGTGCTCTCTCTCTCTCTCTCTCTCTCTCTCTATACATACATAGTAAACGATTCTGTTTTTTTCTAAAATGTATGTTTGTTCCAGTAATTAAGTGAGGGTAAATAAAAACACGTGACTCTTTATCAATTGTCAAAAAACATATAGGTCCTTAGAATTGGGTTCTTTGATTTCTGGTAATAAAAGCCAGGATGAGCATGCCCATACTTATACATTCAATATTTGTATTCCATGTAATGTATTAGATAATTGAAAAAAAAGTTTATTACGTTAAATTTCTGTTTAACACGCCTTGACATAGCTTGTGTCATATTTATCCAAAGGTGAGTACAAGCATATAATTATGTCGGCACATTGACCATTTTATACATCACCTGAACAGCTTAACAGTGGTATAGTTAGAAAACTTGGCTCTTGACAAAAACTTGACAAAAGCTCTCAAGTAATTGAAAATTCTCTCATTTTGACATCTGTACCAAAAACAGAATTAAAAAAAGAAAATAGCTTACGGATTCTTTCAATCACATTAGAGACTGTTTTGGGGAGTCTGTCAAAAGAAACTCGAACACATTCACCATCAGTACATATAATGCAATAAAAGATGCTTATCTCCACACGTTCAGGAATGGATTCCTAAAAAGATATTATTTGTTACCATATTTAGAAAATTTACATTTTCTAACTAAGCACTAGCTCAGTAAGTTTTGATTTAAAAAAAGGAGAAGAGGGGGAAACTTTAAAGAACAAAGTCTAATTATCATTGTCACCATTTTTAAAATTACATTATATGTATATTACATGAACCACTATGCTTCGTTTGGATTTTCGTAATGCAATGACTTTTGAAGCAAAAATTATTTTAAAGAAATGTCTTACTCCCCAACTAAAAATAATCATCTTTACACGCCTTAGGGGCTGGATGATAACCTGTATGAATAGTTAAGTAGTATTTATACATGTAGTATAGTACATGAATGGTTGCCTTTACTATCAGTTGGGGTTGAATACTAGACGTTTTCAATGTGAAAATAAACCAGCCTCTGGAAACAATGGCCGCAAGCCAAAAACTGAACGATACAAACACCGATGCTAAGATTATAACTGCCAGAAGTGCTATATCCATCTTGATGACTTTCATCACATTGTTGTTCAGTATCTTGCAACTGTACACAATTGTGTATATGTTATGCCATCAATGTTAAGAATGTAAGACAATTAAAATGATAATTTAAATGACATTTTATATATTCTATTTAATAGTTGGAATTTTGAAATAGATCAAAGTTTTGACGAATAAGATACCATATCACTATTTACAAAGCTTTATTCGCAATCAAAGAATTTCCGCTAATATAAAACTTTCCTAAATACTGTTGACATACCAATGTAGCATTCATTTATTTATACATTTTAAAATCCAGTATTTCTATTTCCTATCAGTAAAATAGTAAATAATTAAAGATAATCAGGAAACCTGAGGATAATAACAATATCGATTTAAAGTTATTTCTGTATCTGTTTATTTTGAATAATTTGTCGTATTTTTCTTTGTTTTTATTGAAAAAAGTCATAATATTGCAAATATAGTCAAAAGAAATTCAGTTACTGTGAAATTAAAATCGTTAAATGTACCAACATAGGACATCGAAATATTAGACACGTTAAATTAAAAGGTTTACATTATGTGTTGTTAAGCACATCAGGCGAGCTTTAAGGACCTGTCATTGATAAATTTACAAATAATATTTACATAGAAAAACTTCCTTTGAAATTGAAACTTTTATTGTATGTTGATAATGGAAAATTCAATTCTATATATATATATATATATATATATATATATATATATATATATATATATATATATATATATATATATATATATATATATATATATATATATATATATATATATATATATATATATATATATATATATATATATATATATATACATATATATATATATATATATATATATATATATATATATATATACATTGCTAATTCTTTTTGTAATGAAATGCAACTGCGTACTGGCATGTATTATAAGACAGAGGTATTGTTTCCGTACATTTATTTATCTGACTCAATTTGTAAATGAATTCAGTTAGCGTATGTACAGAATTCGTGTATTTCATAAAATATCAAAGAATTTAGATTACTGTAGTTCATAAGCGTGTGTACAGCTAAGTGGAAAATATTATACATTTGTATGGTAACTTGTTACTACAATAAACATTATAGTTTATGAAACAGAATATCTATTGTATAAGAATTGCGTGATTTGACACGTACTACGTCTTGTTTTTCTTTTTCTTTTTGTCAATGTAATTTATTGTCAATAGCATAAAGTTTTGTGAATTTCAGATGTACACATTTATGTCAAATGGTCCCTTGTAAGGATGCATTCTGCTGAGATAACTGCATTTAACTTTTCAAATTTTGCACTTTAATTTGATGTATTCATTATTTGAAACAAAAAAAAAAAAAAAAAAAAAAAAAAACATAATACGATACATAACATACATAAACGATCAAGTACAGTATGTTCAAAGCATGGTTTCTTAAAATACAAACACTTAGGTCTACTTAAAGAAAAGTTTTACAGAAATACCAGTGATAAACCACACTGTGAACGAGGTCATCTGTTGTTAGGTTTCTTAAAAAACATTCATATGAGGTGTCATTCTAAACATGTGTCTGTTTCAAAATTTTCATAAATACGAGTAAAAGTTCTAAGAACGCTATCTCCTCTTTCCCACCTAACCGTTCACGGTAGCTGAGTCGGTAGAGCGCTCACTCCGTGATCGGGAGGTCGTGAGGTCGAATCTCGGCTGCGAGTGACCTAAGTCGATAAAAATGGGTAGCAACTGTTCTTTCGCCATGCGCTCGGCACTTTGAAGTGAAAGTTGCGGGTCCTTCGGATGAGACCTTTAAACCGAGGCCCCGTGTCACGGCAGGCGTTGGCACGATAAAGATCCCTCACTGCTCAATGGCCTTGAGTGCCGAAAAAAAGGTCAAAATTTGAAGCCCTTCACCGGTATAGGCGACATCTCTATATGAGTGAAAAATTCTCGAATGGGACGTAGAACAACATATAATCAATCAATCAATCTTTCCCACCTAGATTTTATACCCATTTATTTCAAGATAAATGACAATTTGGCTATTAAAACTTGTTTGAATGCAAAAAAAGAGTTCATTAGTAATTGATTGATAATTCAAAACAAGTTCAGAACAATTTTAGATTATTTGATTTACAACTCTTTCCATAAGGAGGGTAGAAAATTTTATCCATTGAAATCGGCAATCAGAGTTTAAATTATCACCAGATTTTCAAAAAACATGTACATGCACTCATGGAAATGGATAAATGACCCTTAAATCTTTCCGTATGCTTAAAGGTGCTTAGACACAGATTTGGACTTAATATTTTCTCAAATTTTCTGTATAATATCACGACTTATATATTGCAATAGCATTTCACACGAAAATATAATTAAAAACTTATTTTATCTGGAAATTATTGGAACTACGAATTCCGGGACATGTTTGATTAGCACATCTTTGCACTTACACAAATTTTAACTTTATCCTTAATATTTAAAAAAAGAAGCGATTTTGTTATGTATTAATGCAAAATATTACATCTATAATCCAGAAAATTCAGAGTAGAAATGTTCGAAAGCAAAACCAAATCACCAGTATAGTCAGTTTGTGCTCTGTGATGTGTACAGACTTTAACAAATTGAACACACCCGTGAAACGTAAACTGTTTTTGTAAACAGGGCACGAGCTCTGTTATTGTTAATGTTTACGATTCACCGTGTGTGTTCAATAGTTAAACTCGGCACACACCACTGAGCGCGGACTTATAATACTGTTAGCGGGTTTTCCTTTAGAATATTTATACTCTCAATTTTCTGGATTATAGTTTTAATATTTTTCAATAATACGCCACAAAATTGCCACTTTTCTTAGGTATTAAAAATAAATTTAAAATATGTGAAAGTGCAAGGATGTGTCAATCCAACGCGTCCAGAAATTCGAAGTTTTAATAACTTCGAGATAAAATAAGATTTTTATCATTTTATCATATTTTAGTATGAAATGCTATAGCAACATATAAGTCATGAAATTAT